GACAGACAGACAGACAGACATTCTGACATACATACATACACACACATATAGACAGACAGGCAGGTTGGTGTGTGTGTGTGTATGAGAGAGAGAGAGGGAGAGAGAGAGAGAAAGAGAGAGAGAGAGAGAGAGAGAGAGAGAGAGAGAGAGAGAGAGAGAGAGAGAGAGAGAGAGAGATTCAAGTCAATTGATTATAAGATATAAGACAAATCTTGTTTTCACTTACAATAAAAATCGCTTATCTACCAAAAGAGACAAAGAAAGACGGACAGAGAGATGGAGGGATGGTCCGACCAACCAAGCGTCAGACAGTATATTCCTACAGACAGACAGAAAGACAGACAGACCGACTGACAGACAGACCGACTGACAGACAGACAGATAGGTATATCAGTAAGTCTTACATAGTCTTTTGCAGCCTTGGGAAACTTTCTGAGAACGTACTGTTTGCTTAAACCTTTCCAGAAAGCGGCAGATGTCTTCTGAATACAAAAATCTTTCCGATGTGGTTCTGATTCGACTCCATTGACTACCTGCAGTGAAACAAGTTTTTTTTAAACTCATTTTTTTAGGAATAATTAAACTGTTCGTACACACACATACACACACACTGTTATCATCATCATCATAATGTAGCAAGTCCTTTGCAGAACGTCGCTCTCATCACAGTCTGCCTGAAAGAAATTCCATCTCTCGCCAGTTCTGCCGCCTCATGTACTTTTATACTCAAGGAGTCATTTATATCCTGTGCCCATCTTCGTGTCGGTCGGCCCCTGCACCTCCTTCCTGGTACCATGGCTTCTGCTATAATTTTTTCCAATCCTTCATGGCGCTTGATATGTCCAAAGTATTTCAGCTTCTGAGACAGGATGCTGTTTTTTAGCCAATCTTCCTTGATGTTCAGATCTTTTAAGATGTCAATATTTCTCCTCTTCTTTGTCCAAGATATTCTGAGAATCTTTCTGAAGCATTTAAGCTCAAAAGCCCCTATTCTCTTTTTTGAGGACTGAGAGATAGTCCACGACTCACATCCGTAGCATACATACATTCACATAAACACACACACACACACACACCCATACACAGACACTTATACGCACATGCAAACACGCGCATACACACAGCACGCATACGCCCATAAATAACTATAAATACACTCGCATACACACACTCATAAATCATACATATATACTCACTCTCATGCATACACAACCGTGAGAGAGAGAGAGAGGGAGAAAGAGCAAGAGAGTGTGTATGTGTGAATTTGTGTGTGTATGTGTGAATGTAGGTGTGTATGCAGCTGGTTTTTTACCATATCATATTCCAGTTTGATGTCCCTTAACTTCCGGGTCAGACCGGCAACCCTTGTCACAGCATAGCTGAACCCAAACAGATTCTGTATGGTTCTGAGAACAAACGGTTGCCGATTATATATACGTATTGACAGGCATTGTTATAGTTATGTAAATATGTCTCATACTGGCCGAAACTACAGATATGCAACGATGAGTGAATGTGCTTGACACTGGACAAACTTAAAGACGTCTGACAAGTTGTTTGAATGTTTGTGCCACAGACAGTCTACTTTGTGTGCGAATGTGAACATAACCTCAAACATACAAGGTCCGACAATTAAGTAATGAGACTAATTCCAAAGAAATTATAAAATTCAATTGAAGATAAAACTTGTATTTTATTCACAGTAAGCCTCTTGTGCATTGGTACAGAGAGTGGCGCGATCTAACAAACACTGAAACGACCACTGTAATTCTTCTCTCGTTATGGCCCTTAACGTCGATGTTACGGCCCTATGGATGCCATCAATATTGTCAAAAATGCGTCCTTTCAATGTCAACTTTAATTTTCGGAATAAAAAATAGTCACAGGGGGACACATTTGTGGAATCGAGTAGATGGTTGAGAACACGAATCTGTTTTTGGGCCAAAAATTCATCTACAGCTGCCGCCATTTAGGCTGATGCATTGTCATAAAGTAGCAAAGAATTGCTAGGTTAGTTAGTCGATAGATTATCCTCATTGCACACCGAACCACTCAGTCCATTATCAGATCCCTTTTTTAGTGAATCCCGCAGCATATAGTGGCTAACGAAACCAGTTCTGTGTGGATTTATTATTCTTCTTTGGCTCATTGCATGACAATGTACCTCTGACTAGGTCAACAAAATGGCCCCTTGTTTGCTGTCTGCTTATCAGGCGGCGACGAAAACTTTCCAGATCATAGACGAAGGTTGCCTGTTTGGATTCCATGCTTTGATTCAAGGATGGCATTTTTGTCTTGGCCATAATAAAATCAATTTCATTATTTAACTGTCGGACCGTGTAGAAAGACTGACACAGACAGTTGGGAGAGAACAGCTTCAGAATGGCTCATATGGAGGCACAGTTTTATGAAGAGTATTTGACAAAGACTGATATTCCCGCACAGGACTTGACAGTCATAGCAAATGTTGCTGCCAAAACCAGCGCCACAGCTCCATGGTCTCAGGATGCTGATGATTGTTTGTTCACAGGCAGTGAGCTTGGAGCTCTGTGTAGATTCACAAGCCGAGGTTTTGTTTCAATGTAAAACCTGCATCAGTGGAGCTTCCAATACAAGATCATCTTGCTGACAACTAAAATCACCTTAGAGGCGTTCTATCTCAACTTGAAACATTTTCTAACGAATCGACATTTTTGTGACGAAATTGTATGTACATTCTGACCTACACTTTTTTGTGACACAACTGTATATACATTCTGACACATATATTTTTGTGACACAACTGTATATACATTCTGACATATATTTTTATGACACAACTGTCATTAAATTGTGACATAATTACTTGAGACACAAGTGTAATTAAATTAGTTGGTCTTATCTGCATGTGACCGCAAGAGTTGTGGTTGCCCAAGCGTGTACAACAAAATATATTTCAAACTTTCTTTAAATGCCCATTTAGAAGAGGCTATAGCAGTAATGACGGACAAAGTTATGTAAATGAAGAAAGAAGCAGTGAATTCTAAATTTCCGCGGACCTGTTCGAGAATCTCTGCAGAACTGAAGAAAGGTTTCCAATATATGTCGGGTAGTAGCTAATTATCCTCTCATTTTTTGCCAGAGTGATGTTGACTGTGTCAAACGACGTTCTCAGAGCGCGGACAATGTCCAACTGTTGATAGAGATTCAACTCATTAATGTAACGGTAATTGTTAACAATGATCATCTTCATTTTTTTTCTGCTGACCTTTATTGTTAACAATACTGGTTCTAAATAATGCCCCTTATGGTTTTGAATAATGTGAGCACACACAAAAACTGCACAATGTATTGACAGCCTATTTGGTAAAAGCTGTGGAAATTAGGCCAATCTCATGAAAAGGGAAGAAAGAAGTTGTGAATTATAGATGTCCATAGCGATAGAAGGAGAACGCCAGAGAAAGAGAAAGACAGACAAAAAATACATAGGGAGACACAGAGTTAGACAGAGACATATTTATATACATATATATATATATATAGAGAGAGAGAGAGACAGACAGATAGAAAGACAGACAGGCAGAGAGACAGACGCGAAGACAGACAGACACATAGGTAGTGATATAGTAAGACAGGTAGGTATACAAAGGCCGAGAGAAACAGAGAGTAGAGTGGCAGGTAAAGTAAGATACACAGCGATAGAGACAGAGAGACTAACACAGAGATAGATACAGAGGGTGACAGTGAGACAGAAAGAGAGGGAGACATAGTGAGACAAAGTGAAACAGCGAGAGTTACAGAAAAAGACACAGAGAGACACAGGGAGAGAGAACAGGAAGAGAAGCAGATAACGAGAAAAAAGACTGAGTAAATAAGAGACAGATGTCAAAAGACCCATGAATGCATATTTATGAATAGGGCTAGCGACCACATGCTCAAGCACAGAAGAGTTGGAGAACAGGAGAGGGGAGGAGCAAGAGAGGAAGAAGAAGAAAGAAGAAGAAGAAGAGAAGAAGAAGAAGAAGAAGAAGAAGAAGAAGAAGAAGAAGAAGAAGAAGAAGAAGAAGAAGAAGAAGAAGAAGAAGAAGAAGAAGAAGAAGAAGAAGAAGAAGAAGAAGAAGAAGAAGAAGAAGAAGAAGAAGAAGAAGAAGAAGAAGAAGAAAGAAGAAGAAGAAGAAGAAGAAGAGAAGAAGAAGAAGAAGAAGAAGAAGAAGAAGAAGAAGAAGAAGAAGAAGAAGAAGAAGAAGAAGAAGAAGAAGAAAAAGAATTCGTAGAAATAAATAAATAAAATAAAGACAAACAGACAGACAGAAAGAAAGAAAGAAAAAAGGAAAATAAATAAAGAAAGAAAGAAAGAAAGAAAGAAAGAAAGACAGAAAGAAAGAAAGAAAGAAAGAAAGAAAGAAAGAAAGAAAGAAAGAAAGAAAGAAAGAAAGAAAGAAAGAAAGAAAGAAAGAAAGAAAGAAAGAAAGAAAGAAAGAAAGAAAGAAGAAAGAAAGAAAGAAAGAAAGAAAGAAAGAAAGAAAGAAAGAAATAAAGAAAGAAAGAAAGAAAGAAAGAAAGAAAGAAAGAAAGAAAGAAAGAAAGAAAGAAAGAAAGAAAGAAAGAAAGAAAGAAAGAAAGAAAGAAAGACGAGGAGGAGGAGGAGAAAGGAAATTGATATAGTGATGCTGTAGTTGCAATTGAGAAGATTGAGACAGCAACTGTTACCTTGCTGGTGACCACAGCTGTGCAATACAAGCTTTTTATGTAGGAACTTTGATTGAAAACAACAAAAAGTCAGTATAGAATCGATACGATAGCACTCGACACATTCGCATAGGCGCTCTGTCCACAACTACAGCAGTCAGCGAAGAGTTCGAACTCCGCCAGTACCAGTAGTAATCTGACTGTATGCCTATCTTACCTTTCCTTTGAGCGTGGAGTGTCAGCCAGATTCCTTGGCCGCTTGCCCTTACACCATTCTCTTTAAGCCATGATTACCTAATTTTGTCTCTGCACTGTTCACTCGTTCCCAAAGAGCTTTGACAACATCTGTCTTGTCAGCCATCAATATATTACCAAGTAGTGCAGAACCAGCGAGTCTAACTGTATGTTTGTTTTTAATGACGCGTGAATAGTCTCAAGAAAATATCCAAAGTTTGCTAATTACACAGGACCTCTGAAGTAATCTGGTAATCTGGTAATCCTAGTTTCAGCTTCATAGCAAACGGGTCACCCCACAGATGCTCCGCTCCTGTGAAGTGATAAGGGCTACTCGGCGCAGAGCACACCCGTCTCCATCTTTGTCAGCAACCGTTGCTGTTTAGTTACAATCACAACATGTGTGTGCATCTTATAGCCAAGCCAACGAAAAGCCGCAGTGACTGTCTCTGCCCCTATTTACAAAGTGAATGTTGTCATATCGTATGTCAGTCTATTTGCTTTTACTATCAACCCCAGTACATTTCTTAAGCCAATTAACAGCCATCAGAATAGATGAATGTATCACCTGGGTGGGAATTGTCAAGAATCAGGTGTTGAATGTCTGATAATACAGAACCTGCTGGCCAGTCCACGCACTTCAGGTCCAGTTACCGAAAGGTCCTAAAGAGTACTTACAGATACGTGTCGGGTACTTACGTTGTCAGAGATAGAGTTCAAATCATTCAGCGAGACTGGATTCAACCGCTTTGAATGATCCCGTTTGTCTTCCCTTGGAACCATGATCTGGAAAAGTAAGATACAATGTTGGAAATACGGGCACATTCTTGTGGACAAATGTTGGAAATACGGGCAAATTCTTGTGGACAAATGTTGGAAATACGGGCAAACTCTTGTGGACAAATGTTGGAAATACGGGCAAATTCTTGTGGACAGAACCTTGGGGTAGTCCTGGGGCGATATTACATTGTTCTGAGGTCCATGTACCAAGGCTGAGGGCTACCAAACGTGAATGCAGGACAGATGCTATCAAAACTCCTTCTTCATGAGTGCAGAAATCAAAATAACATATTTGACTCTATTGTAGGCACTCTCAAAATCAAGTGCTGCCACAACTGTCTCCTGTCTGTTCTGGAAGCCCTCATAAACATCAAAAGCAAAAGTAGCTGCATTGGACCACGTATCTTTCCTAGGCCGGTAAGAGACAGGTGCTCGCTCTTTTCCAAAATCGGTTGTAGTTTAACAGCAATAATCTCCTCTAGCACCTCACCAAGAGTATTTTGTAGGGTGATAATTCTGAAACCGCTGAGTTTGGAATAATCTTTGCCTTGTTTTGGAAGTGGAATTAGGTAACTGGGTACCCATTTCTGGGGTACTGAAGCTGTTCTGATGCTCCGGTTGAAGTGAAAAGACACATCACCCAAGTCTTCATCACTCATGCTCTTCAGGTGGGCATACCTGACTCCGTCTGACCCGAACGCAGTGTTCTTTGCTTTTTGCAATACATGTTTAAAATCCTCCACCCTAATAATATCTTCAAAATTCCTAACATTTTTTGTATTCTTCTTTTGCCTTTCTATCCCTCAATGCAAAGGCCCTGATCTAACTCACGCCAAGTCGTTCTATCCTTCGCCATTGCTTCGCCCATGTCCTACCTATCTTTCTAACTTTATTCTACAGCTCTCTTCTCTGTGTGGTTTTTTTTTTTTTTTTTTTTTTGGCCTTTCTTTATTCCTATGCCCCTGTGGGTTCCAATGCGAACACTTTTTTAGTTATTCTGTTCTTCTGTTTTCTCAGTGTGTGTCCTATCCAACGTCAGCGTCTTTTCCTTACCTTTTGGTCCACTGGAGCTTGTTTAGTTCTCTCCCAAAGTTTTACACTATTTATTATATCAAACCATTTAATTCCTTCTGTTCTCCGCAGGCACCAGTTAATGAATGTCTGCAATTTATTAGTAATTGCCTTTGATTTTCCCCATGTTTCCGCCCAATACAAAAGTACTGATTTAACATTAGAATTACAAATTGTTAGTTTAGTATTTCTTTTAATTTCTTCTGACCTCCACAAATTCCCTAGTGCTTTGAAAGCTTTTCTTGTGTTTTTATATTTTTATTTTAATATCTCTATCAGTTTCTCCGTCTTTATCTACATTACTGCCCAAAAAGGTGTACGACTCCATGTCGCCATTAAGAGAAACCACATTACTATTTGCCTGATTTATTCTCATTATCTTTGTTTTATCTTTATAGATTTTCAGACCAAGCTGCTGTGCTCTCGCATCAAGTATATTCAATTTATCTTGCATCTGATTTCGTGAATAGGACAGAAAAAAAAAATATCGTCAGCCAAACCCAGATCATCAAGCTGTTTTGTAGGGGTCCACTGAATTCCATTCTTGGTGTTAGCAGTTACTGTTTTCATAATCCAGTCTATTGCCAGTAAAAATAAGAGATGCGAAATAAGACATCCCCGTCGCACACCTGTTTTTATTTCAAACTAGCTGTACCCGGCCACTCGTTGCTGTGGCGTAATTTGAGATAGTCTTTGATCCCCACCCCACCCCCCCCCCACCCCACAACTAAATCCACCTACTACCCTCTCCCTCATCAAAGGTTTTTAGAAAAGAAAGACAATGGAAATCGCACCTGTCTAATGAAGTTAATGACGCAGTCAATGACTGCGCCGACGTCGAGATAGTCCTTGATTGCCCCCCCCCCCCCCCCATCGAAGTTTTGTTTGAAAAAAAAAAAACAGAAAAATAGAAATCGTGTTTAATATGGTTATTGTGGCAAATATAGAGATAGTCTTGTTTGCGGTACCTCGACCTACTCTATGTATTAAGGCGTTGGCTGCACTTAACTCGCCGGCGAATGGCGGAAGCCTTGCGTTCTGACTACGGCGGCGCATGCGCAATTACTAACGTGGCTATAATTAGAAATCACTAAAGTTATAAATATTAGTTGCGAATATTATGGCATAAATTGTGGTCACCTATCTCTAACAGTGACAGTTTGAATTTCAAACCACGAAGGTTCAAAATCCGGTATCAAAACAAACATATCCTGAAAATTACAGCTAAATCGGTTCAGTAGTTTCCGAGTCTATAGGGGGCAAACAAACACACAAACATTGATTTTTATATATATAGATGTATCTGTTAGCTTTCCCTCATGAAGAATCGACATTTCATGTCTTTATATTTCCAGAGAGATTCTCCTTCAATGCTGTCAAATGCTTTTTCATAGTCTATAAATCCAATGTGAAGTGGTGAGTTCAGTTCAATGCTTTGCTCTATTGTAATACGTAATGTGGCTATCTGGTCAGTACAGGATCTGTTTGACCAAAAACGGCAGAGAAATTTCTGATCAAAATATACTGCAAAAGTTCATTAAATGGCACCTAAGCAGAACTAAAAAAATGACAATGGTAGAACAGAATCACTAACGTGTAACTTAAGAGAACTAGCAAATTCTATATAACATGAGGTGAGGAACATACTGATGCTGGAAATGACAAACAGAGAGAGAGAGAGAGAGAGAGAGAGAGAGAGAGAGAGAGAGAGGGGGGGGGAGGGAGTAGGAGAGGGAGATAATAAAAAGAGAGGGGGAGAAATGAAATACAATATAAATAAGACACGAAACGATCTAAAAACCCATGTCACAAAAATCTACCCACACTGGACTGCATGTTACATTATAACCTTTTTATGGTGGCTATATATAACTGTGCTTCATAGCTGAACTGTTTTTTTTTTTTTTTGGGGGGGGGGGGGGGGGGGGGGGATTTGTACCTTGGCCCACAGCCTTGTTACTCCTGCAGAATGCAAATCTGAAGGGATAAAACTTAAAAAGGAAAACTGAAAATACAAGAAGGAAATAATTAAAGTGATTAACAATAATATTGAGACAGAGTCGACGGATCTGCAGGTGACGACAGTTAACTGAACAACCCCGCATGAGTAGACTAAGGGTGTTTGTTCTAACATGGACAGAAAACAGCAGAAGAAGGCACAAGGAGTTAAAAGCAATATTGCATTTTCCTGTCTAACTGTTTTGTGTCTTCATTTTTTTTTATTGAGGAAGATCTTCTCCAGGCTGATCCAGTGATATTCACAAGCCAGCATCAGGATGGCGGCAGTCATGTTAATTAGGACTATGATTTCACAGAATGGCACAACAATGCTGGCATCCTTGATGTAGTAGAGCCACCTCCGATCTCGTAGTGTATGTACAGAAGGTACAACAAACGGCGACCAGGACAAGATGCTGTCGATGAAGTCTCCGCTACCCGAGACACAGGCAACGATGACCCAGGTTCCACAGATTCCACGGTGTTGTAAAATGTAGGCGTCCTAACACTGTAGACATATTCCCCACTGATGTCAACACAGAGGCTGTAAACAGCTGCCAGAGCGATGACCGTTGGGACCATCAAGCCGAGACACAGCTACATCCCATCTCATTTTGACCCTGCATCCAGTGACTGACAGACAGTAACAAGCCGAGACGCCACAGTGTAAGTTCTGATGCGGCTTCACGGCTTGATCTAATAGTTTTGGAGCCAGAGGGATATATTCAAGTTAATGTTTGCAGTATTTTTATCGCTGTCTAAAGTGGCTGGCCACTGATTCTGGTTCGAAAGATCACCAATCGTGATCCAACTGGTAAGCGAGAAACACACCGATAATACCATTAAAGTAGAAGGGATCATTATCAAAGGGCACCCACGGAAGAACTGAATATTACTGGCCAGGCATCAGGTATGACCTATACACATTTTCTCAGCACGTACGAAACTGTTGACATAAAGGAGATTTGTCCACCAGAACTTCCGTAATTGTTCCTATCCACTGATTGAACCGGACACTACAAGGCTTCAGACCCCTTGTGCTGCATGAGACCCAGAACAATCAACGTTGTCAACGTGTACGGAGGAATTGGTCGAAGAAGCTATCTTCTGAAAATTGTGTAATTGTCCACAGTGTGTGTACTTCTGTCACCTAACGCATACAAGAACCGTGTTGGGTTAATGAAAACGCAGTTTAAATCCAAAAGTCAATGCCTCTTAGCACCCAGCCTTTTGAAACTACGATATCTAT